GAGTTTGCTCAGATTCATGTCCACTGAGTCAGTGATACTATCTAACTCTCTCTCAGGTTCATCTTTCTCTGTATCTACCACATCTTTATTAAGTGGATTTTGCTCTTTCAGTCTTGCCATTCTTTATAGTGAAACAAGTGAGATGCTTCCCTTCCATGGCTCCCCATCACACTTGGGATAAAGTCCTAACTCTTGCACTTCACTGATAAGGCCATACATGGTTTGGTCAGTCCTTTCTTTCTGCTCCCACTGTACTCATTAGCCAGCCTGAATGCTCCTGAGAACACCTACCTCTTAGATTTCACACGTATTAGTTCTCTCTTCTCTCTAGCTGATTATCTCAGATCCACCCTTAGCGCCTGACTCAAGACACTTCTATTCAAGCCATTGATGAGACCCCAGTGTAAATAAAGTGCCCTGCCTACAAAACCGAAGAACATCCAGTGCTTATTGCTATTAGAATTTTTATCTTATTCTAGTGGAGGATAAAGACAAGTAAAGAGAGTGTGAGTTTTTACAGAAAAGAGAGCATAGGAAGGGTCTTCTCTTGTTCTTTACTGCTTGGACACTTGGCATAGTACACACAGTAAAATGCTCCTTATGTATTTGTTGAATGAATCAATAAACTACTGGATTGGTCAAAAACTTATTCAGATCTTTCCGTAAGATAGTATGGAAAAATCCAAATGAACTTTTGGGCCAACCCAATAACAAAGAGCTCAGCAAGTATTAGAGTCCACATTCTTATTTTGTTTCCACTTAACCATTTTCAAACTCAGCCATTTTCAAATCGGGGCTGCCTGGCTCCTGAGTGCTTTGCATCATATGGTGGACATAGATTCTAGAGTCACATTGCCTGTGTCCAGATTAGGTTCTGTGACTCTACGAGGGTGTGTGACTTTGAAAAGCCACTTAATCTCTTTCAACCTCAGTGTTTCCATATCTTAAATTTGGATGATAGTCCTTCTTATAGAGTTATGGCGAGGATTAAATAAGGTAATATCTATAAAGTATATTCCAATTCATATAAATGTGAGGAATCATCACATTTCAACATCGTCATCAGGCTTCCCTGGTCACATGGGGTGGCAACGAGTTGGACACAACTTGGCAACTAAACAGCAACTATCATCATCACCACCATTACTCTGATCCCTCTTTTTGGCAATAAGACAGATTCTTCTGGGTCATGAGATGAGTAGGTATTCAGAGCATTCTTCTTGAAGGCTTTAGTTCTCTTTGGAAACAATTGACCAGGAGTGTTAGGTGCACAGTTCAGAGCATAGCCAAGAGGAATGGGAAGTAGAGTTGAAAAACAAAAAGTAGACTACAGCTCTCTGAGGAACAAATAACTCAGCTGGTTAGTTGGGAGTGCCACCTTAGGAATTGGCCTATAAATAGGGTTGATGTTTTAAGGGGAGATAGGAACTTAATCAGGCATGTTTAGATGGTCTGCCTAGGAGCTGCCAAAAGAATATATGAATTGACTTAATAAGATTAATAGTAACAGTGAAAATGTTAGTCACTCAGTTGTGTCTGACTCTTTGTAAGCCCCTGGATGGTAGCCCTCCAATCTCCTCTGTCTATGGAATTCTCCAGGCAAGAATACTGGAGCAGGTTGCCACTCCCTTCTCCAGGAGATCTTCCAGAGCCAGGGATCAAACCCAGGTCTCCTGCATTGCAGGCAGATTCTTTATCATCTGAGCCACCAAGGAAGCCCAGTGATGATGGTAGCTCACATTTATCTGAAGAGGAATATACGTAATAGATACTACCTTAATCCTCACCATAATTCTATTAGAAATAAATGTATACATCATGCAATAATTAATGTTTTGTGAGTTCTCATTAAATGTCTGGAACTCTTCTAAGCATTTTGTTATTTTATTTAATCTTCACAACAATCCTTATGTAGGGAACATTTTTTGTTGTTGTTATTTCCATTTTATAGATGAGACAACCAAGGCTCACAAACATGAAGTATGATCAGGGTTGTCCAACAGGTAAAGGGAAAATCAGGCATTTGAATCCAAGTTAGCTTGCCTCCAGAGTCCGGGCTTTTCCTTTCTTTCTTTCTTTTTGGTTGCTCTGGGTCTTCGTTGCTGCATGCAGGCTTTCTCCGGTTGCGGGGAGTGGGGGTTACTATTCACTTCACTGCATGGGTTGTTCATCCCATGGCTCTTGTTGCAGAGCACAGGCTCCAGGCATGCAGCCTTCAGGAGCTGTGGCTCATGGGCTCTAGACCCTGGTACTCAGTAGCTGTGGCTCATGGGCTTGGTTTCTCGGATGCATGTGGGATCTTCCCAGATCAGGGATCTAACCCGTGTCCCTTGCATTGGCAGGCTAATTCTTATCCACTGTGTCACCAGGGAAGTCCCAGGCTTTTTCTTACTACATATTCCTTCTCATCTCCTTATATTGGGGCTTCTTAGTGATCTCCACGTCAAGTGCCTACGTATGCAGATGACCTCAAGAACCAGTCTTCATTTATGTTTAGACTATCACTCTGAGGTAGATTCTCTAAAGCAGAAGGGAGGGCAAGAAACTTCTCATATATAGAAATGTCCCTGAGAGTGAAAGTGGGCTGTGACCTGTATTTGTTTCATGGACAGTATCTTCCTGCTCAAAACCAGAAGGATAGCTGGCTCCCAAGCTCCTTGCAAGAGAACCAAGCCAGACTCCTTCTACTGCAACTTCATAATGCCCAGGCTTCCCTGGTAACAGAGCTGGTAAAGAATCTGCCTGCAATGCAGAAGACCAGGGTTCGATTCCTGGATTGGGAGGATACCCTGGAAAAGGGGTAGGCTACCCACTCCAGTATTCTTGGGCTTCCCTGGTGGCTCAAATGGTAAAGAATCCTCCTGCAATGCAGGAGATGTGGGTTTTATCCCTGGGATGGGAAGATCCTCTGGAGAAGGGAACAGCTACCCACTCCAGTATTCTGGCCTGGAGAATTCCATGGACAGAGGCACCTGGCAGGCTACAGTACATGGGGTTGCAAAGAGTCGGACATGGTTGAGTGACTTTCACTTTAAATGAGAAATAGGTTTGATCAGAGCAGGTAGAATTTATTTTAGGCTTTTGTTCCAAGAACCAATTAAGGTTTCCACTTTGCCTTAAACCAATTCTGGTATCCTTCTTTTTTAAAAAAATTTTGAATCAAATGCTAGAGTGCTGGGCTAAGATGTCTCGGTAGCATTTTTACTTAAACTCCTTTTTCTTTTCTCTGTGATTTTCTATCATCCTTCTGTTTACAACTTTGAGTATCTCACAAATCTGGTCAAAAGGACTCTTCACACTGTTTTTAACTTATGGGTGAGAGATTACAACTTACTCTTAAGAACTTAATTAGTTTTCCTGATGCTGACATTTTGAGAGGGAGTGTTATGAACCATCCTATTTTTTCCAAGTCAGAACTTGAGAAACAGATTTGAGGAAGGATTTTTCTCAGCCCTTCCTGGTTCACGAGGCCCTCTGGAAGATTTTGTTTTTTTTTAGACTATCAGAAAGAGCAAGAGAAAGTATTTTGGTTTTTTTCAGGGCACATCATCACTACACATATTAGTCAGGGAGGAAGTTGTGACTGGGTGTCTTAGCCAACAGCTGTGCCTGTGTATGTGTGTGTGTTGGGCAGAGATTGGGGTCCATGGGGGGACACAGGGCTGTTTTTATCCTTACAAAAAAGATAAAATTTTTATCATGAAGCAATTCACAGGTGGTTACTCTTTCATGAGGAATTAATAAATAAGTAGAAGTAATCTGGAATCTTCAAAGAACAGTTTAAATCAAGAGGACTTGCTGGACATAACTAGGAATGGCTGCTGTCTGGGTACTAATTCTGAGATCTGGACATTGTTGTTGCTGTTCAGTCACCAAGTCGTGTCCAACTCTTTGTGAACCCATGGCTTGCAGCGTGCCAGGCCTCCCTGTCCCTCACCATCTCCCGGAGTTTGCCCAAGTCCATGTCCATTGAATTTCCCATCATATATGAATGGCTCAGATGGCAAAGAATCTGCCTGCAGTGCAGGAGACATGGATTCAATTCCTTCAGAGAAGGGAATGGCAACCTACTCCAGTATTCCTGCCAGAATAATCCCATGGACAGAGGAGTGTGGCGGGCTACAGTCCATGGGGTTGCAAAGAGTCAGACATGACTGAAGCAACTTAGCATGTACGCAGAATGTGAAGCAAAGTGAAAGAAAGAGGATTCAAACTTGATTACTAGTGCTGCACACATTTCAGTTCAGTTTGATTCAGTCACTCAGTCATGTCCGACTCTTTTTGACCCCATGGACTGCAGCACGCCAGGCTTCCCTGTCCATCACCAACTTCTGGAGCCTACTCAAACTCATGCCGATTGAGTTGGTGATGCCATCCAACCATCTCATCCTCTGTCGTCCCCTTCTCCTCCTGCCCTCAATCTTTCCCAGCATCAGGGTCTTTTCCAATGAGTTAGCTCTTCGCATCAGGTAACCAAAGTATTGGAGCTTCAGCATCAGTCCTTCTAATGAGTATTCAGGGTTGATTTTCTTTAGGATTGACTGGTTTGATCTCCTTGCATCCAAGGAGCTCTCAAGAGTCTTCCCCAGCACCACAGTTCAAGAGCATCAATTCTCCAGCACTCTGCCTTCTTTATGGTCCACCTCTCATGACTGCATGACTGCTGGACATGACTTCCCTCTAATTCTTCCTCCTTCCTGCCTCCTTTCTTTTCTGCTATTGTTTATTGGGCTTACCATTTCATTAGACATTTTACTAAGCAATTTATGTACATCATTCCATTTAGTTTTCATACAAGCTTATGAGAGAAGTATGATTGTTATCTCCAGTTGAAAACAAGGAAATGAAGGCTCATGAAACTGAAGTCACTTGGTCCAGATGAGCCAGAGTGAAAGGTAGAGCGAGGAGTCAACCCCAGGGCTCTCCAGTCCAGGCGTTGACCTCTCAGCCCTCACATCATGCTGCTTCCTCACTAACTGTATTCTGTTCTTTGTCTCCAGGGACAGAATGAGAACGTCTGTCAATGTTGTGGGCGACTCTTTTGGGGCTGGGATTGTCTATCACCTCTCCAAGTCTGAGCTGGACACCATCGACTCCCAGCACCGAGTGCATGAAGATATTGAAATGACCAAGACTCAGTCCATTTATGATGACTTGAAGAACCACAGGGAGAGCAACTCAAACCAGTGTGTCTATGCCGCACACAACTCAGTAATAGTAGATGAGTGCAAGGTACCTTTCCCATTCATGGATATCGAGACCTGTATATAATAGTGCATGCTCAGTTTTTTAAAGCAAACACAAAAGCCCTGCATGTATTATTGTCACATTTATTTTTCTAAGGAATCATGTAACTCAAGCTTCTGTGAGTCCCAGATCATCTAACTCTGGTGTCTAACATGGCAGCAGATCAACAAATCTAACAGTGAAAGAGTCAGACAGTTGCTTGTGTTGTCTATGTGAGATAAATTGATTCTGATTCCCCTGTCCACCCACTCTGCAAATTTGATCCGTTTTCTTTGAATATTATGCTCAAGAATTTGTGGTTTCTAGGGCTTTGCTGGCTTTCAGATATTCTGTTCCTCAAGTGAAACATCAAGAGAAACGCCAGAATCACTTGATTTACATAGCACAAGTGTTCCTCCTTGCTGAATATCAGGTATTGGTTAAAAAAAGAAAAACATGCCCACATAACTTTGCAAAGCTATCATTCTCTTAATTATTTTTGTGGGAGCATGAGTTTTGACCTGGAAGTCACTTTGCTCCAAGAATGGGGAAGCAACTGTCTCCTTCAGGACAATTATCCATAAATGTCTTTTAAAAACACTACATGTCACACATTGCCCGGCAGCACCATTATTCCTGAAGCATGGGTGTTCTGGACTCTTTTCCAAGCTGTTGGATGCCAAGTCTTAAAGCTCAGTGGGCTCTATCTCGCCTTCATTGTAACTAACTTGACATTGTCAAAGACTGAGTGTCATGACCAGAGTGAAGCAAACTTGGAAAAACCCCAGCAGGTGAGCAAAGTCAACTCTGGAGGGTCTAGACAGCAGTTGAGGACAATCTGAACCCAACACAGATTTCTGAGACCTTTTTGACTCCTGTTGAACTCATTGAATAATTAATTTCTCCCTGTGTTTCTGGGTCATTCCAAATATATGCCAGACAACTAAGGATGACATAGAAGCGACTCTCTTTACTGGACTATAAGATAGTCCAGTGGCTCATCCCCTCTGTATCAAACTACATTGTGCGTAAACCTAATTTTCTAATGAAAATTAGGGAGGGACTCCACTCATCAAGAAGCAATTGGATAAATTAATTAACTCTGTGAAAACAATTAAAACTGTTAGAAATTAAGATGGACCTAAATGGTAAACTCCATTCTCCTGAAAAGTAAGTGTTTTCCACATCTAAATGAATATGCTGGATTATTCTCCATCAAAATGTTAGTTTTGGTCAACAAGAGTCAGTATTTCATGGAATAGCTTTATGCTGTATTATATTTAACAAGTATTTATTGTGTGCCTTGTGGGGTTTAATTGAACACCCCCATCTTGTTCCTATGACTTCCTATATTTTGATTATTAATCACGTTTTACCGAGTGCCCATAACCTGGCAAAGCCCTGAATTAGGCACTGGAGGACAGCAAAATGAATGTACAATTACATAGCAAAGATACAGCTTGATCCCAATGGCTGCCATACAAGGAAATATAGTAGTATGAACCAAAATAAAATCACCATATGTACTTTTTAATTTTGAAGTTATGTATTAGAAGGATTTTAGTGGTTAATTACCTTTGGAGTGACCCTTTTGGAGCATCTCAGCAGGCTTCTTAACAATATTGTACAGGACAAGTTTTGAGGAAGATTTGTGGGCATAGGGATAGGTTTAGATTTCAGACTTCCCAGATTTTTTTTTTTCCCCCTTAAAGGATGTCAAGCATATCAGGACAAATTCATTTCATTTTTTTAGCAAACAATTCAACCCCTAAAGGGAAATGTTGGTCAGCTCTCCCTATCACTGGAAAATAAGCCCATGAGAAAAGAGACTGTATTCCTGTTTATCACTGCTGTGCCCTAAAGCAGTGCCAGGCATGCAACAGGCTCTGCAGAAATATTTACTGAGTGTATCCTTCTAGAACTTCCCTGGTGGCTTAGACGGTAAAGCGTCTGCCTGCAATGTGGGAGACCTGGGTTCGATCCCTGGGTCGGGAAGATTCTCTGGAGAAGGAAATGGCCACCCACTCCAGTACTCTTGCCTGGAAAATCCCATGGATGGAGGAGCCCGGTAAGCTACAGTCCATGGGTTCATAAAGAGTCAGACATGACTGAGCGACATGACATTCACTTTACTTTACTTTATCCTTTTAGCATCCTTTTAGCATCCTGACCCTATGCTTTAATTCAGATAACCTTTTTTTTTTGCTGGGCAGTTGCATAGAGATAGTGGCTTAGTCTCTCTAGGTAATTAACCACTGAACCAACTACCTGCAAACTCATTGGTGAATTAGTGTTTAGATAATCAAGTAATGAAACCGAGCAGGTCATGAAAATAATGGAACGACCATATTGGTTTAATAATTATTCAGCTGTTTTCATTTTTTAGTTAAGTGATGGAGTTCAGCTCTGTGAAGATCGTGAGGTCAGGCAATTGACTCTTCTTGTTCTAGGCCAATCAGCTGGGTTGACACCCACGCACAAAGGAGGCAACCAGAGCTACAGAGATGAATTCACAGGCTTTACCCAGAATATCTGAGTTACATTTACTCCTGTCTTTGAAACTCTTTCTCGTCTGTTTCGTTTCACTGTTTTAAAAACTGAGTTGGGGACATCAATGCTTACCGCCAGTCCTCTATTCTTTTGGTTTTCCTATTACCCAGGTGTTGGAAAAGAGCCAGGTGAAATGGATGAGGGGGTGGAGTCCCCACTTCTTTTAATCCAATCAGAAAAAAGAAATGCCCCCAAAAAACTGCTGTCCCAGCTACTCTAGAGACAGAAGTCCTAATATTTGAAAACAACCCCCCCCCCACCAGTTTCTGTCTGGTTTTCCAAAGGCACCACACTGAGATTTATAATGTTGTACAGCTATTGATCTGGTTCAGCGCTAAAAGCCAGATAGGCACATCCAAGGTCATGGTGAACAGGCAGCTTGCTCCAGGCAGACAGTGTGTCCCTGGCAGTCTTTCCTGACAGTTCACTGAAGGGGAAACAAATTTGCTGCTGCTCTGGTCAAAACTTTAACCATTTTAAGCATTGTTATATCATGTTGGTCTCTCTAGTTTCAGACTCTTGCCTTGTAACTGTAGTTTGAAATTATGCAGTGTTTTTTATTTTAACCAGAATAACTGCATGTGATGCTTACATTTGCTACTTGCATGGTCCTTTTTTTAAATGGAGGCTTCATGGGGACTGGTGGAAGGAGTAGTTTTTATTTTAATTTGCTTGGTTCATGAAAGGCATTTGGTTTTCTGTTCCTAGCATGTTGTGTGTGTTCATAATGCATGCGTCTCCCTTCCACTTGGGTAAGAAGAAGGTCAGATTTCTTTCAGTCATTGCTGCCGTTTGTCATGTCTCCATGTCCTAATGCTTCCATAAATCCAGTCTCTCCATTATGTGGAATATCAGTCGTGGGTTTAAGTTTGCACATGACGTTGAGGACAGACAGATGGAAGGTAAGCTAGGAAAATGATTTAGATGTGGAGGGGGAAACCTCCCATTTTGTGTAAGGGTTCAGTTTGCTTAGAGCCAGGGAAGCATAATCCGGACAGTCTGGTGTTTACAGTTGATTAATAAATGTCTGCATTGAAATAATTTAAATTTACTGATCCCCGGCTTTTAATTCCCTTCTTTTCTTCTTTCAATATTTAAAGCCTGGACAGCTTATATGGTGGAGCCAGACCACCACGACTTCTGATTTTAAAATTGAACATATATAAAATCCACCTGGGCTCATTGAAACTGAACCTTTCACGTGCATGAGTAGAACTAGATCTGGTTCTGGATTTTTTTGTTTCTCTGTGGTTGTCTGGAGTAGCACAGAGCACTGTGTTTTAAGGATTGCATTATTGTGTGGTGAGTCTATGGGTAATTAGACCCCCTCACAACCCTAAAAGCATCATACAAGTTATTTATTCCCCAACTTGCAAAGTCTAGTGCTTCAGATACCTCCCCAAGGCAAACATGCATTTTTAAAGTGTACAAATCATTGTTGAAAACTAAGACCAGCTTAAAATCAATTTGGAAAGAACAGTGTTTAACATTAATATTTAAGTTTCATAGTAGAACCTGGGTCTGGTGCTCCTCCACATAACCCCCGGGGTGGTTTTCTGGTTCATGGCCTGTAAGCTGGATGTCGATGATAATTATTTTCAGGTGACTCTGGCAGCCAATGGAAAGTCAGCCGACTGCAGTGTTGAGGAAGAACCTTGGAAACATGAAAAATAAGGATATGACTCTCAGCAAATTCTTGAATAAACTCCCCAGCATATCTTATGGTAAAAGAGGATATAAACAAGCTTTCTTTAAAAAGAAAAAAGTACATCTATATCTGTGTTTACTTATTCTATTAGCTGAGGCTTAGAGGATCTGTTGTGAGTCAGTGACAGGCAAGGTGCTGTGTGTCATTGCCAAATAATGCTTGGTAAATGTCTCATTTTCTCACTTGTATTATTGTTTGAATGGATGCTGCTGGAGGAATCAGTTTGAATTGAAGACGCGTTCTTGCCAGCTTCCCTTTTCTCTCAAGATGCAGAAGCGTGGGCGCTCTTTTTTCCAGGAGACACAGCTAAAGGCGTGGGGCACATTCTGGGGACTTGGAATAATGAGCAGACACTTGGTGTGTTCTCCAGCCTCACCTTGTAGCACACAGGAGATTCTGTTAGAGCCTTTATAAGAAAATCCCCTTCGGTGTCTTAGAGCGTTTGCCCTTGTGTTGGTGAAAAGAAAGTGCCCATCTTAGGGAACTCTGACATTTTCTCTTCTGTGTATTCTTTAAGTTGAATGACTAAATGTTTCAAAGAGAGTCACATTTGGAGCCATATCTTAAAAGCAGCCTGTTATGGAACCCACTGAGTCTCTGCTCCACCCCACCTAGTCTATGGGGATGATTGTTGAATTTCAAAGTATGTTTCATAACTTGCTCTAAATTCAGTTATGGATTAGGATGGAACTTGCATAGAATTGCTGTATATATTGACAACACTTAGAGCACAGTCAACACACATTTTAACCAGATTCAAATTTGTTTGTGTTTGGGTTATATCACCTGGTATAGTGAGATCAAGTGAGATTATTTGATCTATGTTTCACTGTCTTTGTTTTGTCCATAAAATTCTTATTTTGGGTTTCTACCTTAAAAAAAGACATTCTTCATCCCCAAATTATTTCTGTCATATTCTCATCAGACTAAAAGACTTAATCATTTTACTGTCCTCACAGATGGAAAACAGTTATGGTGGCTGTGCCTCTTTTAATACTAATCTCATGATAAAAGCAAAACCAAAACACGATTAGTTATCTAATATGTAGAAAGCTTTTTGTTATATTTTATCAAAGCACCTAAAACCAATTACAGGACATAGTTGAAAGCAGAACCCATCTTTCTCCCGAGTCTTCTCTGTGGAAAGAACCAGAAAACAAACATATGTGCAAAATCCTATAAAGGTGACATTTCTACGGCAAAGTCAAGGCAGCCTCGAACCATAGAGTAGGAAAAAAGGGTGGCTTTATGGAACTTCACAGACGGAATCTTTTTCCAAGCTGTGGAAGTTTGAGGGGATGCATAATACTGGAGTAACTCATCAGTGCCTTGCATGCATCTCCAAGCTACATTTTTCAGTGTCTGTACTATCATTTTCTATTGAATAACCCACAGTATTTTCATAAGGTAGCTGACTTTGGGAGTTTGCTAAGGATTACTTGAACATGCATCACTGAGAAATAAAGCACACTTGACTCTAAGGAATGTGTAGAACCTTGGTCCAGTGTGGGAGTAGGGTGGTCATCTGAGGCCAGCAGATGTGTGCTGAGATATTCATGAATAGTTGTAGAATCCAGGTTATCATGGAGAAGGTGTTTATGGACATCACATGCCCTTCATTACCTACTCCATGTGACCTTACTCTTCTTCATAGGGAAACTTTGCAACACACAAGAGACGAGATTCTAGTAGTGTTGTCTCTTAAACCCTAGTTTTTTTTTTTTTTTAAACAATCACTGTTGAGCAGTATTAAGTAGCTCTTTGCTTTTTAAAAAAATAATGCATTGGCCTTCATTTTCATTAGATGGATGGTTAAGAGGATGGCCAAGGACTTGCTGAAATGTAGTAGTGGCAAATGCATCCTTTATAGTAGATGTCATGGGTTGTAGGGATGGTTCCTGGATTTAACTGTGAAACTGTCAAGGAGTCTCTTTAAGTCGTGCTTCCGAGGGCATTTTTTTATGGTGAGGAGAAGGATGTAGATGTCCATCTAGGAACTTGTGGTTTTGTTGTTTAAGGCCAGCTTAGCACTTGAACATACTGACAGGCTGCTCAAAGGAGTGGTCTCAAGATTGTCTTCCAAAGATTCTGCCGAAAAGTCTTCCGTAATCGCTTGTCTTCAGGTTTTTTCTAGTTATCGAGTTAGCCTATACATATATAAGGGGACAGTGTATTCAGAAGAAACTAGGTGCTCAGCTTAACAGAGTGGGTTTTTCTAGTTTGAAACTGTATGCGGTAAGTCTCATGAGAATATCCTTAGGAAATGTGTTTATTTGGAAGTTCAACAAATCAGTTAAAAATAAGCAATTTCTCAAATGCAGGAGTAGCTTGAAAACCCAGGGTGTAAGGGGAACTGATGTGCGGCTGTGTCCTCTGGGTTTTCAGGCCTCTCATCCTTCTCATGCTACGCCCACTGGGGTTCCTCGTCCAGCATGTGTGCCATAAACAACACAAGTGCATCCGGAATATACCTCTAGCAACCATTTTCTAAACAGGATATTATAACTTGTCAGTCATATGCAGAGATTTAATAAGTCCAACACAAATATGAATGCTTATAACACTCCATTCATGTTTGATCATGCATTAATGTTACACTTGTACACAGACATGGCAGGCTAGATACACACACTGCATCCTGCAAGTTCTGTTAAGTCAGGGCTTTTGCAACATCATTTTTTATGGACTCATTTACTATATTTAGGAATCAGAATCATTTCAGAAGAAAACCAAGTAGACTTTTATTCTCTCCTTTCTCATTTATGTCCTTTGAAAAAAACCCAAGTGGCATCATCATTTGATTACCTACTACTATTCAATGAATCAAGTCCTATTCGTGAAAAGAATGGCATAGCTCTCAAGGCAAAGCTTTATCTTAGACTTTTGGGGATGTACCTCCCATGAAAAGAGCACCAGAAATTCAAGGCAATCATCTAAATCACTCAGCTCTTCGATATAAAACTTTAGATGGTAAGTTCTGAATCAAGTAGCTATCAGATTTTATTCTTACTATTGGGAGTGGAAACACAACCTATAGCCTGCAGAAGTTACCATGTTCCATAAAATATAAATATTTACTTCTCTTTAACTACTTATCAGCTTGGATGTTCAGAAAAGTCTAAAGAAAGGTTGCCAAAATGCCTGGTTTTTGGATTTGAACTGGTGGAAGCTAAGAAAGGCTTAGCGGAAATTCAGTTTATGGGGAGATGTACTCTTGGTCAGTAAGGTCAGGAATCCCAACAGCTGGTTAATTAGAAAGTCTCAGATTATTTCCACTCGTGCGCAGAGACATATGTCATTTGCGAGTGTATATCTAGTCAAGAAGCCCCTTTGGAGTCGGGTAGAAAATCCCATGGATAGAAGGAGCCTGGCAGACTACAGTCCTTGGAGTTGCAAGGGAGTTAGACACAACTTAACGACTCAGTAACAACAATTCACCCACTGGATCTCCAGAGGGAAACCCAATCCTGCCATGTTTTTGCAAATACCACACTTCCGTTTGTTCCCAATAGCAAAAAGTATGGTACCATATTTCACTTTTGTCTGAATCAAGGGTTCTGTTTGTGCTATGTTTTCCACACAGAGAGTGTTAGAGAATTAAGGCAGTCATCTAGAGCATGCAGATCTTCATGATCTGAACCAAGTAGCCGTTAGAAATTCAGCAGTGAATTCAAATAGGTACCCACATGTTCAGAGAATTCTCCATTGTTCAGACTCTTGATAAACAAGCCTCAGCAGCTCTTGCCTGATGTGATGGCTAAATGCTCAGCATTTACACCCAGTGGAGGTGGCCATTCCCACTTCATTGCTCTTCAGCGCTTGGGGCCATACAGTTGCAGGGGTTGCTGGTTGGACTTTGCTTACTGCTACTGTTACCTCTGCTGCTGCTGCTGCTGCCGAGTCACGTCAGTCGTGTCCGACTCTGTGCGACCCCATAGACGGCAGCCCACCAGGCTCCCGTCCCTGGGATTCTCCAGGCAAGAACACTGGAGTTGGTTGCCATTTCCTTCTCCGGTGCATGAAAGTAAAAAGTGAAAGCGAAGTCGCTCAGTCGTGTCTGACTCTTTGCGACCCCATGGAGTGCAGCATACCAGGCACCTCCATCCATGGGATTTCCCAGGCAAGAGTACTGGAGTGGGTTGCCATTGCCTTCTCTCCAAATAAATTCATTCCAAGCCAAGGAAAGGGACCAAATGGTATTTTTCAATTATATAATACTTGCTCTTTGAATACAATATGATGATGTAGGAGCCTGAAAAGATTAAGGTTAAAAGCAAAAGGCCTGAAGGAATTATGAAGTGAGAGCTTTATAAATCTAGTTGTCAAAGAAGATAAATGGTCTCAGTATCTGGTAATTTTGTCTAAAACCAAGAAGGGCCACTGAGCACCAGGTTGCACTATTGGCAGGTTGGTCTCCTGGGAAGAAGTGAGTGCAAAGCTATTCAGACATCAGTTGCTTTTGATTTTTTTCTGAAAAGAAAATTCAACTTCCGCTCTCCCTTTTCCTCTCTTCTTATTCCAGTGATCATTGCTGCTCAGTTTAGTAAATGACCATCCAAGTTAGCCCAAAGGTTGGTTTTAGAACACATGACAGGGAATCTTAATTGAGTAGTATCTAATTTCATAGCATAGCTAACTTAGGAAATAACAGAAATAACAGAGATGAGGAGAAATAATGCAGTTGGGAAAAGAAACATTTGACTAAGAGTCTGCCCATTTTTATTCATACAACTTATAGTCACTTTACACATGAGCACCATTGGAAAAAAAAAAAACAGGCTAGATTAAAATTTAAAATGCCCATCCATCCCTAAGAAACCACCATATAATGATCTCTGCTTTAACTTCTTAAGAGGCTTACTACTATGTGTGTATGCTAAGTCACTTCAGTTGTGTCCGACTCTTTGCAATCCATGGACCATAGCCCACCAGGCTCCTCTGTCCATGGGATTCTCCAGGCAAGAAT